CTGTCTAGTAATTTTGTCTTGGAGCTCGATGCATTTTGTGAATTCAACTCTAGCTCTGTTCAAAATTTCTCTATTCTCTTGCATATTGTGATTCACAGAATTGTCTTCCAGACTTCTCATAAGAACTTCCAGTCTCTTTGATTTTTCATATATGTCTCCAACAGATTTTCTAAACCAATAGCTAAGATGAAGCTTTTGGTGTAGACAGTTAAGGGGATTGCCAAATTGGGGCTGATCCCAAGAATTCTAAATAGTGGTCAAGTACTCCTCATGTTCAGTCCAGACATTTAGAAATTTGAAATACTTGATAGAGTTCGAGTTAATGGACTCACAATTAATCGGGAGAGGAGCATGGTCGGAGCAGGTACGGGATAATGAGTAATAATTGTGCCTCCGAAGGTGTCAAACTAGTGAAAAATGGTGTTGGGGGGGAGGGGGGGTGTCCCTGTTGTCACTCCAAGTGAATCTGGATCCCACGTAGCCTCCATCTTGTAGGTTGCAATTAGTTAAGCAAGCAAGGAAGTCTATACTTTCATCAGCTTTATACGATCTTCCACCTGTTTTTTCTTCAGCTTTTATAATGACATTGAAATCTCCAACGACTCCCCAAGGGCTAATAGCAATGTTGGCATTGTTTCTTAGGTCATCCCATAGTTCCCTCCTCAAGAGTTCATCACATTTAGCATACTCAACACTAATATGGAAGGAGATTGCAGGATGGGCTTTGAATATATGTAGGAGCATGTGTTGATCTTTGTCTTCCAGAATGTCTAATTGATGATCATTATTCCAGAAGATCCAAATCTTATTATGATGGGCTTTTCTTCACTATACATGAAAGTGTAGTAAAGAAAACGCCATTTTATTTAATCATTCAAGAATGCAAATGGCCTGCACAACTGGAGAAGACCAACTAAGTTGGATAAATGGGCACTTTTTAGACGACAAATAAAAAAAGGAAATTTTAAAAATAGCTAAGACTAAAAATATAATCAGACTTTTCAGTTATAGTTTATTTAATTACGATTCGTAGCTATATGCAAGAAGGAGGAGAGAGGCGAGTGAATCTAGAAGATAGAAGAGAGACAATTATTTTGTATATTTAATCGAATTGTATCACGAATACAATTGATACGATTGATTTGTATCAAACTAGCTACTAGAAGAAGGAGAGAAGCGAGCAAGATTAGGAGAGGGAGGAGAGAGGTGAGCGATATCTGGGAGAGGGAGGAGAAAACACTTTTTCTTCTTTTATTAATCTAAATAGATTCCTTTGGGCAGAAAGTTACCATTTGAGTTTGACATTTCAAACTTCATACATGATCATTAAGAGCCTGTTTGGTATTGCCGTTAAAACAACTTATTTTTAGAAGCATTTTTTTTAAATCGCTTTTTAGAAAAGTGCTTTTGAAAAAAAAGCAATTTGTGTTTGGTTAATTTATTTGAAAAGTGTTTTTCTTAAGCAAATTGTGTTTGACTAATCTTTTTTAAAATGTGTTTTTTAAGAGTCAAATACAAAAAAGGACAACTATTAATACACTTCTAATATTTAAAATTATTTTATAGAGAGAAACTGTTGGAATGTATGCATCCACTAGTAATCAAAGGACCAGGTCCTTTGGTACAGTTAAAGTGCTGGAAGTAAATAGCTGAAAGTAGAATGTGCACACACGATTTTACGTGGAAACTTCCTTGCTCAAGGGAGTAAAGCCACGACCTGTCACACGAGATTTTCAACTGTTTTCACTAATCTCAAAGAAAAAGTGAATGCAGACTTCAAACAACTAATGAGATTAAACTCTTAATCTCAGACTAAGTAGTACGCCTATTACTTACTGAGCCTAAGGAATGCATCCATTGCCCACTATATTAACTATCACTAATTAATATAGACTTTACACCGTAAGACACAAGGATAACATTAACAATGTTCTTACACAGACTCACATAAAGGTTTGAAACGTTTCTTATAAGAGGGAAACGAATCCTACAAGTTTAGTAGATTACAAGCATTCAAAAATTACAATACACACGAACAACACTTCTTGTGTTTGATCAGGTATCTTGCTGTATTTTGAAGCTTGGTTTTTATCTCTCTCTTTGAATGAATGAATCATCAAATTGTTTGTCTTTTGATTATATCAATCAAGAAGAATTGGTGACCACTGGACAAACAACCTCATCTATTTATATTGGGGAAGTACACTGACCGCTTCGCCAACACACTGACAAGACAACTTTCCAGTTGTACCCCATATTGTACTTGGACGAGAATACTCAGTTGGGGATCGGGTCCCTGCATTGTGAGGATTATCAAAACAACTAAATTACATCATTTCCCCCTTTTTTTATGATGACAAACAAACCACCTCACATCAATTGCATTCATTCAATTTCAATTCCCCCTACCACCAAGTTCCCCTTGTCACCGTTCTCTATTCCAAACAAGCCCAACAGTAGTATAATTTACAATATATTCCCCCTTTTGACATCATTGAAAAGGAGAAATAGTAAACATACACAAGTCGCATGCAAAATTGTAAGGAATTCAAAGGCATAGGCAACACAATACATGAACATACAGGCAACCGAGATAAGATAAAAGCACAACAAGAAAGGGAAAAGTAAGATGTTGATTTCATATCACAAAACTGGCCACTGAATTCTGCCAGAAACAGGCCATTGCCACTACATCATATGACAGGAGAAAAAAAGACGCTAAAAGACATAAGGAATAATACACTAGACACTTTAGGACAGAGGGGGACGGGGAGAGAAGGATTGCAACACAAGACTCTGGCGAGAGTTAGCATCAACATACGCCTCAAGGATTTGCTTAGTAAGGAACTTGATTTCTTCATTCAATGAGGCATTTTACTCAAACAGCCGCGTATTTTCAGCCCACAATTTACTAACCTCCTCCTTACTCTCAGAGCTAGTACCAGGTCCTTGAGATATAGCTTATTGAAGTTGGGCCCCGAGTCTAGCAATTTCCACATCTTTTGCACTCAAGGCAACCGGGAAATCCTCCAACTCCCGCTTAAGAGTGTCCTGTTTCTCAAAAATCTCAAAGACATGGGACTTAGCCTTGACCTTACCTTCTGCACACTCACATTCCAAGAGTGTGGTTGCAGTAAATGTCTGTTTTATCGTCCCTGCAACTCCCCTGCCAAGAGGCACCCTAAAGTGTTCGAACACATGATTCAATAGGTACCCATAAGGTATTCCATGCTTAGCATTCTTCCAGGTCATGACCCTATGCATATGCTTAAGCATGATACCAGGTAGACTGATGGCTTCAAGCTCGTCCAACTACACCATAAGAAAAAGATCTGTTGCAGATGCCACTATTCTCTTTTCACTTTTGGTCATAAGCACCTTGTTGACAAACTCAAAGAAGAGTTGATAATCTCCCTTGAGAAATTACTTCTTAGGCAGCACATTTCACATCCCCATACTTAGTGGCACGTTGAGCATACTCAGAAGGGGCTTACATCCTTCAACGGACCTGATCCCTTGAGAGGGAACTCCCAAGATAATCCCCAAACTCTCTTCACTCAAGGTGATGTCCACTTCTCGCACATTCGTCGGTATCCCTCCATCATCAAGGAGTTCCATTTTATAGTAGAACTCACGTACCTCTGGCTCATGTAGGTATGGCACAAGATACTCAAAAAAATGTTCCCAACTTTCCAAGGAAACACAATCATAGAACGAAGCTCTTGGCAAAATCGACGAGATTGGAAGAACGCTTGAAACCCTAATTTTTCTCCTTTTGGAACCTTGCTCTAATGACTTGAAGTGTTAATAAACGTAAAAGAACTGATTATCACTTTCTAAGCCCTTAATTTGGTGTAAAACATCGTGTTTTAGGCTTGGAATAGAGGTTAAAACAAGGTAGTTTAAGTACCAAATGCATATGGAAAAGACCAAAATGACCCCAACTTAAAAGAACTATCAAAGTACCTTAAAAGGGAGGTTTCACGGACCGTTTAAGTCTCCACGGTCTGTGAAAAACTTCACCGGCCGTATAGTTGTCTGTGAAACTTCATTTATGTGATAGGGCTACACTAAAACAGGAATTACTTTTTACTCCAAACTCAAAATGAGGCAAACTTGGTGTCATTGGAAAGAGAAATCAAAGACCTTTTAATTTGATAGGTCATGGCCCACCTAATTCATTATGTGCTGAGAGATATGATTGTTTGAAGTTGACCCTAAACATTAAAAGTTGATGGGTGACTTGTACGGACCCCTAAACGGACCGTACAAGCCACCACAGGTCGTCTAGGATCCCGTCCAGGTGACCCACACCTTGGAAGCACTGGACGGTTGGCCACCCTCCCTAAACAGGCCATGGACCCCTAAATGGTCTGTATAAGGAGTCGTGAAGGTCCATGGTTCATTTTGGGTTCATGGACTAGCCTGTTAGCCCTCTTTAGCATTTCTCAAGGTTCAAGGTGTTACACGAACGATTCAAATTTTAAGAGAAGAGTTGTGAGGTGTTATAGAATGATTCAGGTCCTGGCTTAGAAATTTTCGATGTGTTACAGTAAGTTAGTAAGTGAATAAAAAGTGAAAGAGCAAACAACAAGTGAGTGAGATAAGAGAGAGTTGCTAGAGTGTGAGCACACAAAACATATTGTGTAAGAATTGTAAGACCGAAGCAGGTCCTTACTTTGATATAATAAAATTCAAGTTGTGAGAAATCAATTGTGCCCATCTCCCAACAATATATTCAACACTAACTTGAGCATAATAGTATTTATTTGTAAGACTTATCATGGTTAGATTAAACCTTGGTAAATTATATAATGGTTGGATCAAACCAAATTTTTTTTTTTTTGGTAACTAAAAGATTTTATTTACCAAATGGAGAAATGTACAGCTCAAAGAAAAGAAACAAAACAACAAATTCTAGCTGGGAAGGACATATTGCTCCTAGCCCAGAAGTAGCTAGCATCCCATAGCCTCTTCTGTAATAATTGTTCCTGAGCTAGCTAGGATGGGTAGTTATCAAACTGTGTTATGTACGTAGCTATCTTGGGGTACATAGTAGCTCTATAATAGATCTCTTGAATGATTCGCCTGATGATAATTTCCTCTGCCCTATGCCATACATAGTAAATAGTTGCAGCCAATGTCATTTTATACAATGCAGCGCCTCTACTCCTTCCTTTGCAGTGTTCAATTGCCCAAGCAAGTTCTCCTTGCCAATCAAGACTTTGTCGTAGAACACCTTGCCATGCTAGTAGCTTGTTCCACAGGTGACCGGTGACATTACATCGAAAAAACAATTGTTCGATGGTCTCATCTTCCAAGAGACAAATGGGACAAACAGGGCTCGTGTCGATACCCCATTTACGCAAGCGATCTCGTGTGAGCAGTCGACCATGTGCTGCCATTTTGAGAGTAAAGATCCACTTTTCAGCACCTTTGTTCCTGTATACAATTTTATACCAAGGCACCTTATTAACTGGTCCTTTTATGGACTGATAGATAGCCTTAATGGAGAACTGTTGCATCTGTTGCACAGTTTTAAGTTCATGGCCAGCTTCTTCAAGGTATTACTTAGCCTTGAGAATTTGCTGGATCATCCAGGAAGCATTCTTAGCGCTAGTGTTCCATACGCTTCCATCCTTTATATAATAGGCATGAGTCCAAAGCACCCATAATTTATCTTTTTTCCGTGCCAGGTCCCATAATAATTTGCATGCTGCTGCCTTATTCCAATGCGCAATGCTAGTGATATTGAGTCCCCCAGCTATGCCAGGACTACATACTCTGCTCCAACAGAGCAAAGCTTTTTTCGATTACTCAGCTTTCCCGGTCCATATAAATCGCCGTCAGATGGCTTCAATAAATTGGACAATCTTTACTGGAAGTAAAAATGCTTGTGCCCAAAAGGTTTGGATTGCGAATAACACACTTCTAATTAATTGAACCCGGGCAGCATAAGATAAGAATTTAGTTGTCCATGAGCTTATTCTCCCAAGCATCTTCTCTATTAAAGGTTCGCATTGGACAATGGATAACCTTCTAGAGCTGAGCGGTACCCCTAGGTATCTGAAAGGAAGCATTCCTTTGGAGTAGCCAAGAATATCTAGTATCTGTTGTTGCACCCTAGCAGTCACACCACCAAAATAAACTGCACTTTTGTTGGTATTGGCCACTAAACCAGAAGCCTCGGAAAATAAGCGAAACTTTTCGTGCAAGCAAGAAATAAACCTTGTATCTCCCCTACAAAACAATAGCAAATCATCAGCAAACCCTAACTGTACTAAGTCAAACTTAGCACATCTGGGGTAAAACTTGAATCCTGGCGCTGTCGTTTCAAAGACCTTAGCAGTCTACTAAGATATTCCATGGCAATGACAGATAAGAAAGGGGACATGGGGTCCCCTTGTCTTAGGCCTTTTTTTGCTACAAACGGAGGTGCTGGCTGCCCATTAATAATCACTGTATACGATACAGTCCTTAGGCAAGCCATTATCCATTTAACAAATAATACTAGAAATCCCAGTAGCCTTAGCACTTTCTCAATATATATCCATTCCACCGAGTCATAAGCTTTTTGCATATCGACTTTAATCATACATCTAGGAGAGATATTGCACCTTCCATAACCTTTTACCAATTCATGGCTCATGATAATATTATCAACTATCAATCTTCCAAATTTGTTTTTAAATATTTATTAGTAGTAGCTTTGTTTATTTGAAATTTTTGTTTTTTAGTTTGAGAGGCTTGATCTAACCAGCTAAAGTTTACCTTTAACTATGTTAAAAATGTAATGTTTCGTTAGTTTTAGGGTAGTGTTCAATTTTTTTTTACAAACATGAAGGACCATTTTGTTTCAGTATATATATTACAATATCTTATCCTCTTTTTTTTTTTTAATTAATGACTTGAATAATGGCGTTCACGATAACGTTAAAGAAATGAACCTGAGACCTAATTCAATCCGAAAAGCTAGTTCACGAGAGAAGGATTTCTTTAGACAGAACATCATCTCAGTAACCATCAATGATGTGAGATTTTTTTATTCTTCAACACCCTACCTCACGTCCAGGGTTGAACATCTAAAGCGTATATCATGTTAGATTATCCAAAGAGGCCATCCATCTAATTGAACTCTATGAAACTTCTTCATTCTTCAACAAATTAAGAGGGAGATGGAGTAATGGATTAGCTATAGACTTCTGGATGTACAAGGTATTGTATTATAACAAATGACATTAATTTGAAACAATCTTTTCCAAGTTATATAGAAAGATAATCAATTTTATCTCTCTTTAATTAATTAGTACATATATATACTCGGTATATTATATATTACTTTAAACTCAACTTTTTACAATTAATTATTTTTATTTTCCATGAAAATAAATATTTAATTAATTAATTCTAATAAAGTCAAAGCGAACACCAGTAATGATTTTCTATAAATTAAAAATAAAAATTAAGTTACCTCAATATTTTGCTGGTTTATGCATCACTTATTGGTATAATCCTTTCAATACAAAATTGTAGCAATCAAAACCCCTCAAAACATGTCTTAGTTTGTTCATTTCGCCTTAAGTTGATAAGCTTTTTGGTTACTTTTCGTTATTTGTTTGTGTTGATAAAATTTAATAGCTAATTTCAACTGCTCAACACTGAGCACTTATTGGTATAATCCTTTCAATACAAAATTGTAGCAATCAAAACCCCTCAAAACATGTCTTAGTTTGTTCATTTCGCCTTAAGTTGATAAGCTTTTTGGTTACTTTTCGTTATTTGTTTGTGTTGATAAAATTTAATAGCTAATTTCAACTGCTCAACACTGAGCAATGAAGAAGGACATTTTTAAGTAATAGCTTGAGTATGAGTGGCAGCATAGAATTGTTGCTTGATGCATTGCAATTTCCCGCGAAATAAAGATTGACATCAAAATATTAATTTAGAGACAAGAAAAAAACATGTTAACAGAGTTTGTCCAATTGTTGCATTGCTCCTCCAATTGGATTTGACTAAAGTCCAAAGGTTGGATTGCTTCCCCTATTTTGTTTTTAAAAGTGTTTAGGAAAGACCAAAAAAATGTGATGTATGCAGAGTTAATTAATTCTATATTTCTAAAATAGAGAGACTTATTTCGAAAGACTTTCAAATTTTTTTAAAAAAATTACAATATGTTTAAATAACTTTGTTTTTAAGTTTTCTAATTTTATTTTTAAAAGTGTTCGGAAAAGAAAAAAAAAGATGTATGCAGGCTTAATTAATTCTATTTTCAAGAATAGAGAGACTGTTTTCAAAAGATGTTCAATTGAAAAAAGAAATTTTACAATACGTTTAAAGAAACACAAGACTGAAAAGGTGTGGTGAAAATAACTATAAATTAAAAAAAAAGTGAAATAGCCTAAGAAACCCTATTACTTTGATTGGTTGGAAAATTTGACCCTTTACTCACAAGGTTTCATCCAAACGCTTGAACATGTTCATATAAAGGTAGCTAAAATAAATGAAACAACAATAATAACATATTCAGTTTAATATAATTACTAAAGCAAAAAGAAACAATAAATAAAAATAAATCTAAAAATAAAATAATAAGAAAATAATAATAACAATTAATAATAATGCAAAGATACAATAAATGTATTTTTATGCTCGATAAGTAAACAAAAATATATTTTTCAAGAAAATGTAACATGACAAGTTAACTTATTTTTCGGGGGGTGCGGGGGGGGGGGGGTGGTTGAGGGTTGGGACTTGGGATATATGGAAACCTCGAATTGGTTGGGTTAGTCATTTTGAGCATTTACACTTATGGAAGTACCAATGTCACCAAAGGAAGAAAATGGCCGCTTTGGTCTTGCAATTTTTAAACACAATAGTTTTTAGATTCATACTCTAGCAACTCACTCTTATTTCTCACTCAATTCTTGTTTGCTCTCTTCCTTACTTTCTTTTTTAATCTTTTTAAATTTGGTTTGGTTACAACTCAAATGAACCACCTCTATTTATAGGTGGTAATGAAGAATCCAGGGAATGAAATATACTATTCACTTCTAGAATATTCTTAGTTAATGTGGGTCCACTAAGCTAATGTCTATCTGAGACAAATTCTACAATGACAAATAATTCTGGGAGTTAGAGATAGCTACTAAAGGTCCACGTCATCCCTAAATCTATTTGGTGCTAAGTATTACTCCCAACGAAAGCATGCATAATCTGGAAACAATAATAATTTGATAATACCCCATCATACTAATAATTGATACATAGCGAGTAGCTCATAAATCATGGTAACTGAAGATATACTGAGAGATACTTCATCTGAAAAGTTCTGAGTCATAGAAAATACTTGTATATTTAGGGTTCATGAAAATACCATTAAAATCATGGAATAATAATTTAAACCATGTAATTAGGGACTGATCATGAAGTGAAACTGATTTACAATGAAAATCTATGAAGATCAATAGAAAGTTCTAGCTTGTAAGAATCATAAACTTATAAACTTGAAAATTTGAAGTTTCTTTGGGACTCAATGGGTGAATGGACACCCATTGATGAAATACCACCAACCTAGAGTAGAAACCTTGTCTTGATTCTTGGAATGGAAACTTGAAGGTTGGAACCCTATTTCTTGTTTGAAAGGAAACTTGAGAGAGAAGAAACTTTGATTTGTAAGAGTTAGGAGAGAATGGGAGGTTAGGGCCACTAGGAATCACTTAATCCCACTTAGAATAGTCCAAAACGATGTAGTATATGAATTAAAAGAGTGGGAAAAGACCAAAATAACCCTAATTTAAAACTAATGGAGTCCATCAATGGACGCCTTCTACGATCAGTAGATCACCCCCACAATCAGTGGAAGTGCCCGTAAATAGAAAGGGAGTTCTAAGGGTCAACTCTACAAACCCTTCTATGACCCATACAAGTATCCGTAAAAGGCCAAGTTGTCTTAGTTCTAGGGTCTAATTGGTATACAAACAGATTTACGACATGTAAAAAATTCCACGGTCCGTAATAGAGTCTGTGAAACTCTCTTACAACTTTTTCAAATATTTGAGCTTCGGTCTATGGATCCCATCAAGGCCCGTGGTTCCTTTCACGATCCGTGAAAGGGTTCGTAAAAACCCCTCCTTTTTTATTGATTTCATTTTTTTTGACTTTCCTAGGTTTGATTTGGGTTTAGGAACTTTGGGGATGTTAGAAAACACTTGTTCATAATAATCTTTGTTGTCTATAAATAGAGGAGTTTCCTCTCATTTTCAATAATAAATTTTCTGAACTTCTTATTCTGCACAAACAAATTTTAGTATACTTTATTATACTAACAATGTGATTTTAGGTACCAATACACCAGTGAGTAAGATCGTTCTATTCTGGAAGGATATATTTCATGAACCTCGCGTACTTAAGGGGAATAATCTTCATAAGGACACATTGTGCATTCAGTGAGCTCGATTTTCCTCTTTTCAATATTGTATCGATTTTGTTGCAAATTATATTTTCTTTACTGATTTTAACTTTCTGATTTTGCCAATATACTTTAATTTTTTTGTTTCTTACGAAGTCTTGCAAAGTTATTGTTCTAAGTGTTTAATAAATAGATTAACAACTGTGGAAGCCTAGGGAGACCTGGTGGATGATTATGTGTGTATCTGAATTTTACAAGGATAATTATAATCGTGTGTGTGAAAGTCCCAATATGGGAGGAATGAATTACAATGGATATCGCTATAAATTATAATATTTGCATAACTTGCATGTGAATCAAACGATACTGTATCATGAGAGACAGAGTTAGAATATGAATTACAGGTTCAATAGAATTCAACAGTTTTTATTTAAATTTCATATTTGTCTAGAGAAATTTATTGAACATGTACAATTATTAATTTAAAGCCCTATAAATGACTAAAAATTTAAATTCATAAATTTCAAATTTTGACCCGACTTCTGCTTTATATGCGGTCATTTGCCTAGGATGATGACTGATGCTTATCAAGGCATAATACATTAACAAACACTTAATCTTGATCGTAGTTGACAAATAAACACTCCAACTTTGAATATGTACATCTAGACACCTCAACTCATCTCAATTGTATGAGTTGAACACTCCAACTTATAGAATGATCATCTAAACACCTTTAAAATTTGTTTGCCATGTTAGTGTCATATATCTACCAGATATAGTGAAGATACTCTTTATTTAGTCGTCATTTGAGATCAAGTTTGAAATGTAGAAATATGATATATTTATCTATCAAAGTCAATAAATTATGAGAATTTATTTAGAAGAGTTTTGAACTTTGTTTTGTATCAATAAAATTAATTAATTTAAGATTTTTTTATCTTAAAGAATAACTCAACTATATTTATCATTAAAAATAATTTTGACATGAAAAAATATTTTGTCCCACCATGTAAGCATAGACTCTGCGAATAAATAAAATCACAAAAAAGGACACTATTAAGGCTCTTGAAAGATTCTTT